GGGAACGAAGCAACATAGGGTGCGAGCGCGAGACAGGGGAGGCAGGACGAGCACGGGAGGGACGGTGAGACCAGACGTGCGACGGAGGAGTCGGGTCAGGAGACAGAGGAGGGGACATAGGGGGGGAACGAGTGGGGAGACGGGCCGGGGACGAGTCCGGCGGAGGGAAAACAGGGCCGTAGACCGGAAGAGGAGGAGACGGTCGAGGAGGAACCGACGCAGGGTCGGGGGACGGAAGGCCGAGCAGGCGAAGGGCTGACACCGGCGGGGACTGCTGCTGCGGCGGCACAACGGCGACACCTGGACCGCAAGCTGCTCCTCGGCTACCACCGGCACTCTCCACACCAGCACCCCTAGAGGGACCACCCCCAGAGCTACCGGGACGAGCACCCCCAGAGTCAGCGAACGGGCGCTGCGACGGCGGCGGCTGCGGCGGCGGCGGCAGCGGCAACGACGGCGGCAGCGGCAACGACGGCTGCAGCGGCGGCAGAGGCGGTGGAGGAGGAAACTGGGGAGGGGACGCAAGGGGAGGGGCGGCTGGTGAGGACTGCACAGGAGGGCCACCAGAGTCAGAAGACTCCTCAACCGGGTCCACCGACGGAAGGGGGGTGACGTGGGACACACCAGAGGGGGCGGGACAGGGAGGAGGAGGAGGAGGGGCTGGGACTACCGGGGAAGGGGTGACCAGGAACAGGGGGGGGGTAACCGGGGGACCACGGTGGGGGAAGCGACGGTAGTAGGGAACGGACTCGTCAAAGGTGACGTCGCGAGAGTGAAAGAAGCGGTGAGACGGCGGGTGGTAAAAGTGCCAGTCGGACGCGTCAAGGGGAAAACCGAGGAAGACGCAGGGAAGGGTGCGGGCAGTGAGCTTGTCCGTGCCGGAGGCACGAACGTGAGCAAGGCAGCCCCAGACGTGGAACGCAGACGCGTCACCAGGAGACCCAGTCCAAAGACGGGTCGGCGAAACCTGCGGCTGCTGAGGGTGCGGCCACAGGTTAAGCTGGTGAGAAGCGTAGCGCACAGCGAACGGCCACAGAAAATGGGGTGCACCGGCATGGATCATGGAGGTGCGAGCCACCTCCATGACCAAACCGATGCGTCGCTCAGCGACCCCATTCTGCTGTGGGGAGTCCGGTAGGGTGAACGTCTGGGTGATGCCCTCCGCACGACAAAAGCGACCAAGGACACCTGAGGCAAACTCGCCACCACGGTCTGAGTGAAGGCGCAAGACAGGGAGACCGCGGTGGACACGTGCAGAGACAAGCCAGGGGATGAGAGCGTCAGGCACGTCGGCCTTGCGCTCCAGGGGAAAGACTGTGGTGTAACGAGTGAAGTCGTCGACAAGAACAAGGAAGTAGCGCTCGCGACGCGGCCCAGGGACGGGGGCGGGGCCCCAGACGTCAAGGTGCAGGGTCTGCAGCGGCGCGGCGGTAGGGGGAAACGAGGAGGAGTGAGGGGCACGGCGAAGCCGACCCTCGACACAAGGCGTGCAAGGGGGGGCGGGGGAGGAGGGAAACGCGGGGAGAGAACCTGGGAGACCAAGGACAAGACCGTGCTGGGACATGTGACGCAGACGCGGGAGCGCAGGGTGACCTAGGCAGTGGTGCCAAAGGAGGGTCGGGTGAGTGAGGGACCGACAAGAGCAGGCCGCAGCAACCTGGGGGAGCGCTCCAGCCGGGGGGGTCACGGTGTCCAGAGTGAACAGGCCAGACACCGGGTCCCGGGGGAACGTGGACAGAGGGGCACCAGTGGCGGCCTCGGTACAGACAGCATACCGCTCGTGACCAGGGAACGTAGTGGTGACGCCAAGGTCCTGGAGGCAGCCGACACCAACTAGGTTCTTGGAGAACGAGGGGATATGCAGACCTGTGAGAGTGCCCGAAGGAACCGCCGGACAGGGAAGGGTGGTGGAACTGCGAGCGACTACCGGACCGCCGGAGGGGTCAGCAAGAGAAACGGCAGCAGGAACAGGAAGCGGCGTCAGGGTGGTGGAGTCGCGGAAGAAACACCGAGAAGCGCCAGAGTCCAAGGTGAAGGAAAGCGAAGCAGAGGCGTCGGACGACGGAACGACGGCGGAAGCACCAAGACTACACAAAGTAGGAGATCCTACGCCTGACGCAGCAGGGGAGACTACGCTAGGCACACCTACACTAGGCAACAGTGAGTAATAAGCTGGAAGCACACTAGAGTCATCAGCATACATCACATGCAGAGCAGAAACAATGGCATCCATGTCCATATCAAAAATCTGAATCTTACGGCTAAGCAAGCTGTGCCAGTCCGGGAGGTCTGGCGACGGGCCGAAGCGCTGACGAAAGAGGTCGTCCAGACGACGAAAACAGCGGGGAGTGGAGTGACCGATCTTACCGCAAACGAAGCCGCGGCGAGGACCGGTCTGGATCTGGTACTGACAACGCCCGCCGCCAGAGCCACCACTCGGCACACCACCACGCGCCCGACCACCGCCAGCGCCGGGCCAGCCGGGCGGGAGGACACTCGTCTGCCTCGTCTGCGACGGCTGCTGCAGCTGCTGCGAAAGCTGCGACTGCGGCGGCTGCTGCGGCTGCTGCAACTGCAGGGGCGGCGGCTCAGCTGGACTGGGCAGGGTCCCCTCGTCCGCTCCAGCACCAGACGACCCGACCCCACCACTACCCCCTCCCGCACCCCCGCCTCCGCCTCCGCCGCGCCCAACCTTGGGGCGGCGGCCCTTCCCCGAGCGCAACTGCGCCGCAGCAGCAGTCTCAGCCATTGCGGCAGAGCCGTCGGAGAAGGTACACTGAGCGGGGGCACAACCCTGAAAGATAGGGACCGGCACGACACCGCTCGCCTGGGCGATGGAGCGGTGACGGGTCTCTATCACAGTCAGGGTGTCTACAAAGTCAGTGAGGGTGAGGTCTGCGGGGTGAATGCTAAGGAACTGGTCGCGGGCGACAGCAAGGCGGTCAGGGAGGCGGGTGGCAAGCAGGTAGAGGGTAGAGGTAATGGGCGGCTGGTGGGCTCTAAGCTGTGCGTCAGTGCAGGCAGCGCGCCAGGTCTCATCTATCGAGCGCAGGTGGGCTCTAAGCTGTGCGTCAGTGCAGGCAGCGCGCCAGGTCTCATCTATCGAGCGCAGGTGGGCAGCGAGGTCAGAGACAGTGGGGAGAGATGCAAGGTCAGGAAAGAGCATCGGGAGGATCAGGCGACCCACTGAGGCAGCCGGAGGGGTGGAATAGCGCTGGATGACAGCATCTAAGTATGCCTGAGCAGTGGTGAGGGTCCTAAAGCGAGGGCGCTCGGACGGGGGAAGGGCGTTGCTAATGGCAAGCTGGGCGACAGCATCGCGAGAAAGCCAGACAGAGCGCGCACGGGCAGTGGCAGCAGTAGACTCGCGCTCAGTGGGTGTGGGGTCAGCGGGCAGAATAGCAGGGGGGTTTGGGCAGGGGAGCGTACCGTCAAGGTGTGCGGAAAGCGGTTCACCATCCTGCCGCTGGCCAGTGAGTTGGCGGCGGAGGTCGGCAAGCCACGCCTCGAACTCCAGAGGCTGGCCTTCAGCGTCGAAGCGAAGCTCCGCCGCCATCAGGAACAATGCAGTGCGGTGCAGGGTAGGGCAGCAAGTCGGAGTGCGGTGCAGTGCGGTACAGTGCGGGGCAGTGCGGTGCAGTACGGTGCAGTGCGGTGCAGTGCGGTGCAGGGCGGTGCAGTGCGGTGCAGTGCGGTGCGGTGAGGTACAAGGGGGATTAAAGGCCGTACCGGTGAGGAGGAAGGGGCCGAGGCAGGGATGAGCGCGGGGGGCCGGGCCGGTGCAGCGGTGCCGGGCGGGTGCGGCGGGGCCGGGCGGGCGCGGCAGGGCCGGGCAGGTGCGACAGGGCCGGGCGCGGGCGACGGGGCCGGGCGGGCGCGACGGGGCCAGGCTGGGGCGACGGGGCCAGGCGGGTGCGACGGGGCCAGGCCGATGCGACGGGGCCGGGCGAGGGCGACGGGGCCGGCAGGCGGCTGCGGCGGGGCCGGGCGGGCGCGACGGGGCCAGGCTGGGGCGACGGGGCCAGGCGGGTGCGACGGGGCCGGGCCGGTGCGACGGGGCCGGGCGGGGGCGACGGGGCCGGGCAGGGGTCGACGGGGCCGGGCAGGGCGCGACGGGGCCTGAAGGCGTGACGGGGCCCAGGGAGGGCGCGACGGGGCCCAGGAGGGGCGCTACGGGGCCCAGGGAGGGCGCGACGGGGCCCAGGGGGGGGCGGTACGGGGCCCAGGAGGGGCGCTACGGGGCCCAGGGAGGGCGCGACGGGGCCCAGGGAGGGCGCGACGGGGCCCAGGAGGGGCGCTACGGGGCCCAGGAGGGGCACTACGGGGCCCTGGAGGAGCGCAACGGGGCCCAGGAGGGGCGCTACGAAGCCCAGGGAGGGCGCGACGGGGCCCAGGAGGGGCGCTACGGGGCCCAGGAGGGGCGCTACGGGGCCCTGGAGGAGCGCGACGGGGCCCAGGAGGGGCGCTACGGGACCCAGGGAGGGCGCGACGGGGCCCAGGGAGGGCGCGACGGGGCCCAGGAGGGGCGCTACGGGGCCCAGGAGGGGCGCTACGGGGCCCTGGAGGAGCGCGACGGGGCCCAGGAGGGGCGCTACGAAGCCCAGGGAGGGCGCGACGGGGCCCAGGGAGGGCGCGACGGGGCCCAGGAGGGGCGCGACGGGGCCCAGGAGGGGCGCGACGGGGCTAGGGGGGGGTCGCGACGGGGCTAGGGGCACGACGGGGCCGAGCGAGGGGGGCGAGCGGAAGCGGTAGGTGGGGGGGGGGGATCCTACCTACGCTCTGATACCATCTCAAAGTTGAAGAAGTGAATAATGTTAGAGAGAGGGTACACACAGATATACCTAAGTGTTGTACCCTCTAAGAGGCTACCCTATACAGTCTATACAGACATGACAAATACACATGTTTGACAGTTGTACCCTCTAAGGCACAATCCAGTATAGTCTACAATAACAACCTAAGTTACATTTGACACTACATACTAACATATGTACAAGTTGATAAAAAAGCCATCTGCAGAGTCTGAATGCATATATGGCACATCATCTGTTGATTCTTGTGCGTGTATGTGTGTGTGTGATCTCTTTATGGTACCAAGGGCGTCAAGGAGAGTAGCTACCAGGGAGGGTGGACAGGAGATGAACTACCAACTTTAAGAGGAACAGAATGGGAATACCAACTGTACCACTTGTCTGTGATGCAATGAGGGCTGCTGCTTGATTGTGTAAGTTACTAATCTTGAAAGCAATTGCGTAATCTTCAATGAGTAAAATATTACTTCAGTTTGTAGCAGGGGGCGCCTGGGGTCCAAAGTCACTTAGCTTCTTGTTATGCGGGTCCACAATCTGCAAGCACTCAGAAACAGGCTCAGAAGTTTTTCGATTTTAAGGCAGTCAACCAGAACGAAGTCTCAACTCACCTTGACAACGATGATGGCAATCACTCCAAGGATAACAAACGCCAGCATTGCCAAGATGCATTTATCTGTTGCCATCTGCTCCAGTAATTGTGATATTCATTTTAGCCATAAGCTCTTGACACTACAGAAACTTTCATTGCCCTCTAACTCACCTGTCGTCCCAAAGCTTTTACAAGCTTGGTTGCACGCTTGAGGGAGAATTCCAGATTGTCAAGTTTATCGACAATTCGTTCCATTTGTTCTGTCTGCACACGTCTCACGAGAATAAGAAATCAGCACCTCCAAGACAGAAAATCCAGTACCATACCTGTCCCTTCAGAGTCGTGGCTGTTGCTGCCCCAATGTTGATAGTGTTCTCAACAACCTGAGAAATAGAAAATACGTCAAGAGCCTGCATCGCCGAAGACCACAAAACAATCATTGCAAAACAAGAACCTGCTTGGATCTTAGAACAGATTGGTCCGTTTGCCCCAAGACACGATTCCCCTCCTCCATCAGCTGAGCATTCGTCATTGCTGCAGGAAAATTGGAAATGAATGCTCCACAGAGTTGTTGTGTCAAATGAAAGCTTTATGATTCGACATGGAACGAGTGTTACCCGATGCTAGTCTGGGAGCCCCCACAACTTCAGCCGTCCTTCCGTCTTCACCCAGCTTCACCTTCTGGCCTTCCTGAATAGCGCCCTGATAGCTGCGACACAACCTCATGAGCAGATTAGATGTTAACGTGTCAGCGACATGCATGATAAATGAGGATACTAACGTTTTTTTTAGAGTTACGAAGGCATTCAGATCCTTCACAAGGGCCCTCTTCTTCTCCTGAAGCATTTTGTTGACTTCTGGTGAGTTCTTAGCTTCTTGGTCTTTCATTTCGCGTTCGAATTCCTGAATTAACCTGCATCAAGATTCGTTAGCTCAATAAAGCCACCCCGGCTACAAGCGAAAGCTTTCATATCCACCTTCTACACTCTCTGAGTTTCGGCGTGACATCTTCCAGCAATTGACTTTGTCGAGAGGGGTCTTCGCACTTGTCAATCTTTGAAAAGGTGGTCCTGGAACAAGAAAAACGTGTCAGATTATGCTAAAGCTCTGTTTGTAAATCCTAGCCCGCTGCCGCACCACACTCACTTTAACTGAGTGAAGCTCCTATTGAGCTGGTTCGAAATGTCGCTAAGTGGAGGCGGGAGGTTCGTTAGCGACATTTTGCCTCGTCGACAAGCCTCCCTAACTCGTGACCTAGGGCGACTCTCTCGTGTCTTCAGTGAGTTTGGTTGACAGGTGCTAGCATCCAGCTCAAGACTGAAATTTGAGGGGCTTTCCCTGCAAGCCTTGTGTCTGGCAGGTTTGGGGAAGCGCTGCGCATCCCGGCGAATCAGCTGCAAGCAGCCCCGAGAGGGCACGAAGATAACTCCTATATTGGGTTCGAAAGTACCCGTCTTCATAGACTTGTAGCGAAACTCTGAACAGTCGAGTAAAGGTAAACCAATTCCAAGACTAAAGGCTTTACATAAATCATTCAATCTAAACGAGCAAAGCATTTGACCCCTAGCCTACATATCTGATTGTCCCCCAGAGATCTCAAGCACGAAGAGGCTTCAATCCAAGCTTTGCACGAAGTTTGTTGGCTTCTGCAATTTCAGGATCCTCATGATCTGTCCCGCCTGCAGCCTTTTCCTTCTTATCCTTCTTGGTCTTCTTCTCCCTGCCACATCCAAACAGAAACATGAGAAAAATAGCGTTAATGGGCGAACGAAAGATAGGTACTTGTGCAAGTGGTTTACCAGTGAAGTGTCGACCACATGAACTCCAAACTCACCTGTTCTCATCAGCCATCTCATCCCTTCGATCACGCTTCCTCGAATCACCATCTCTGTTCCTTTCCCCATCATAGTCCCGTTCCCTCTCTCCATCTCTGTCCCTGTCTCTATCCCGCTCCCTATCCCTATCCCTGTCCCTCTCCCTGTCCTTACCCCTATCTCTTTCCCTGCTCCTGTCTCTACCCCTGTCCCTGTCTCTGTCTCGCTCCCTTCCCCTGTCTCTTGCCCAATCTCTGTCCGTGTCTCTGTCCCTCTCCCTATCTCTATCCCTATCCCTGTCCCTGCCCCTGTCCCTGTCTCTGTCTCTGTCTCGATCCCTGCCTCTGTCTCTGTCCCTGTCTCGATCCCGGTCCCTGAAAAAAAAAAAACGAGAAAGAGGCAAAGAAAAAGAGAACAATACTGACGTGGAGAAACACAACACAGAAGAAGACCCGACCTGAGACACCTTAACAGAGTTTCCATCTCCAAACAGGAAGAAACTTCACAATGTCCAGCACTTTATACTTCTCTCAGAGCACTGCCAGCACTGGGAAACCTGGAAGCGCTGAGACCCATGATTGCACACCAAGGGAGCTCCAAAGAACTCCATAAAGGGGTACAAACACAAGTTCACTCTTGGGAGAACGTTGACACCAAGGCAACCCTCATCCATGCACGAACGAGGGGACAAGAGAAAGTTGGCCATCTGAAAAAGGCAACCTTGCAGAGGCAAAAAGCCACTGAAGGACTGCCCAAAAAAAAGATGAGCTCCTGCCGCCCTGCAAGCCCAGCTGCAGTATGCTTCAGGAAGCTTCCCAATGAGAAGCTTCCCAGAAGATGTGCAGCTGGTCGTTCTCCCAATCAAAACAGCAAAAGACAACACATCACCACATACCCGGACTGACACAACTAAGCAAAGAGCACACCAGGAAACACGAACACAGCATCACGTACCTGGAATAGTCGCGATCCTTGTCCCTGTCTCGCTCCCGGTCCCTGTCCCGATCTCTGTCCCTGTCCCTGTCCAAGTCTCTGTCTCTGTCCTTATCCCTATCCCTTTCTTTGTCCCTGTCCCTGTCTCTCTCCCCGTCTCTGTCCCGATACCGCTCTTTCTCCTCGGCCTGGAAAACGTGTACGTAGAAAAAGGATGGGAATGTGAAAGAATAAGGTTTGAAAAAAGGGGAAGAGGGAAAACGAACAGAATGGGATGCATACTTGATTGAGCACACTAACTAATCCACGCGGCAAGAAATCAGGACCGGCGCATACCTTATCAGGAACAGGTTCCCGCTCCTCCTCCTCTTCTTCCTCTTCCTCCTCCATCTCGTCGTAATCCAGACCACTCTTCCTCAGCTCCAACTGCCCTGCTGCTTCCAACGTCCACCTGAAGAAAGGGCGGATACGAATATGTAACAGACACCAGGAGGTGAAACAACTGCAGCGAATCCAATATACATATATAATATCCATGGATTTAAACATACATGTATAACCGAGAAAAGGAGGAAGAAAGGCTACGATCAAGAGCATGTCTTACCTTCGAGGTATGCGAGGCAACGCAATGTCGCAACTGGAGTCGAGTGTGAGAAGCTCCTCGATGAACTCGTCCACATGTGACAACACATAGCCTGGAAGCACAAGGTAGAGAGTGAGGGAGGAGGAGAGGGAGGGGGGAGGTTGAATCAACATCGCTACCACAGGTAACAACACCAGCCCTGGCAGGGACAGGGATGCAGAGTTAAATAAAGAAAACTAGAGACGTTCATAAACTTCCAAGCTAGCGCAGGTACAAAACCCTCAGCCACCTACAAAAACAATATACAACTCAAGGAATCTTTTGCATGTCCAAATAACGTACTTCCACTGTCCAGTTTCCGCCGCACTTTCCGGTAGTCGTTGTACAGCGGCTCCAAGTACTGGTACACATCCATGGGCTTCCCCACCAGCCGCAGGTAGAACGCCCCGAGCAGCCGCACGTACCTGACGTCACAGGGGGGTGGACAGCAAGTAGGGGGGATGGAAGAGAAGGAAGGGCAGGGAGACACTGAAGGTTGGTTGGACGGGGAAGCGTGTGTCTAAGTGGCTCCAGGTACGAGTACACATCCATAGGCTTCCCTAACAGCCGCAGGTAGAACGCCCCCAGCAGCCGCACATACCTGAGGTAATAGGCGAACGGCCGAAGAGGGGGAGGAGGAAAGGGGGGGGGGGGGGTGGTTTGGGGGAAGGATAGGTTGCGGTTTTCCAGATTGCTAACTGAAATGGAAATCTGTTCAACCCAAGGGCTATATGTAGTCGAAGTTGAGCCACGAATCCACGATATCCTTCTCAAGTTAAATTTATAAGACATTGAGAAACAGCCACGATAGAATATACACTCACTTGTAATCGGAGTTTTTTATGAACTCAACCACAATCTCCTTCTCCGGTTGAATCTGTAGCATCTTGAGAATCAGACACATGAAAGGGGTAGGTTTGCGATTTCCTCCGAACGTTCCTCCGAAATGGTCCAGATCCATAGCCTTATCGACCAGGGTTTCAGCTGCAGCAAAGGGGAAGGAAAGGGGGAAGACAGGAATAAATTAGAACAAGAAAGCGACGGACACCACGGAAGAGATTTCTTAAGCAATCGCCTGGTTCCATAGCTTTATCGACCAGGGTTTCAGCTGCAAAAAACGGACGAGACGATTACGAAAATGGGACGGAAAACGCAACCGAAGTCAGGGAAGCAAAATAAATATGTAAATTCGAAAGCAGACAAAACGAATCAGTGGAGAACCACAAGGCTGGAAACTGAAGCCGATCCGATTAGAGAGGAGGATGAAATCGTAAACAGCTTATGCAATTTGGCTGCTGAACCTCGACGGAATCGTAAGCCGGACTAACAACGATCAACAATCAATTGTTGTAATCGGCAGACACATGTCGGAGCCTTATGGGTCAGGGCATGAGCGACGGCTGCATAACGAACCTGTGAGGCCGATACATAACTCGTTCCAATCGACGTTACGATAAATCTTCCCAGTACGGTTCAACGATCACTGATCGAATGTAACCGTTGATGCCACAGCACGCACCTGTGAGGCCGAAGCATTGTTCCTTCCAGTAGATGTTCTGATAGATCTTGGCGCGAAGAATCTTCTCCACTAAATTCTGCGGGTTGGTGCCGTGAACCGTTCGCGCCCTTGGATCTGTCCGATTCGCCATGGGAAATCAAGACGGCGAGAACCACCTGTCGCTACTCGACGCCTTAGGATACTGTAATGCACTAGGTTCGATACCCTAATCTCCTACGCCACGGGAGGCAAGAACCGCCTGTTCTAAGGACTCGTAAGAAGGAACCGCATTGCGTGGAAAGGGTAATCCAGCGCAATGGAAAGCCTTCAAGTTATTTAGCCTTGCTTCTGAAAATATGTCGTAATAGCCACCTCAGAGAACATCCCCAGTACGCTTTCTACGGTGGGATTGGGTGCCTCAAAAGTCAAAAGCGATGAAGCGAGAAAACTGCCTCCAATCGTCTGACACCTTACTCAACCGCAGAGATTGTACCAGCCACCAGCTGACTTAGTCGTTCCCCTGATCAGCCAATTTGCTTTGTGGTCACTCTCTTCTCAATGTACGCGCTGCAGTCGATCCAGTCCTCCCACTTCCAGAAAGAGCAGACGTTAGATTAATTCTTACCGTTGTACTACTATTGTGCAAATAGAAACTAAAACATCTAGAACGACGTATTGATCAATGATTGGCAATTGTTCTCGGAAGCAACACTTCATTGGATGCAATAACCCATACAATTCTTGCACAATGCTTTGCTATACAAGTGAGTGAGATGAAACATCACAAATGCACAAACAGTTATATCACATGCATCATTTGTGCATACGTGATGTCCCTTCTGCAGTCTTCTGTCACCCTCTCCTGTATCACGTTTCTCTTTCCTCAGAATTTCCCACCAATCAGCTTCCCTGACAAGCTGCTGCTGCTGCCCATGAATCCTATATACAGATCTCCATTAGAAGTAAGCTGGATGGTGCTGAGCAGATCCGCAACATTCCCCTCCGCCACAGTCACGACATTCACCAGCGACCACGAGACAGAGCTCACGAGCTGCCATGTGCCGGTGAGTTGCAGGGACGAGCTGGCCCCGCCGCTGCAGGGGCTGCCGCGGTAGATGGCCTGTGCCTGAGGTGCCTCCGTGATGCCTGTGGCAACGAGGTAGTATGCTAGGGTGTACGACGAGCCACTGCGGGGAGGGAAAGTTGGACACGGAAGAGGGCCACGAAAGTAAGATTCTGAAATGAAAAACCGGTATGTCAAGTCTACCCAAATATGAAACCGAATGTGATGCAAACAGAAATAACAGAATGCAAGGCTCAAAGGGAAACTTGGTAGCAAACGCAGAAGGTTCACGGTTCCAAGGTCCACAGAAAGTTATGAAGATGTGACTTACATTTTCGTGATCTGGATGTTGGCTGCCCCTGCCTGCACAAGGCC